ATCCCATCCCAGACTAAAGTCCAAGTGAACCTGGGACCTGGGTGTTATGCAAAAATGGCATTTCAGCAGTGGTACGCAGGCATCCCGAGAGCAGAGTGGAAGCAAGGGGGCTGCTGTTCACGGTAGGACTCTGCTCCGCTCCTAGCACCATCAGCTAACTTAAAAGTTTACTTCTGTGTGTTTGGAGGCTCTAGAAAGTACAGATTTGTGCCTGTATATGTAAAAGAAGTAGTTGTATGCCTACTTTGTGTAGTACTTAAGAAAGCAATTCTGCACATCAGTGCATGGTTCCCTCCCTTCTTAAAATTTTATTGGGTTTAGTCAACAGATTGCAGAGCAGTTTCTTCTATTAATGTTCTATGCCTGTCTTTTGACACAACAGGCCTGTTTTCAATATTTTCAGATTGTTCTTTGGCTGTTAATCTTTGCATTTTTACTCTATATGACTAGTCTGCTTTCTGGCTTCAAATTTTTTTTATCTTTAAAATCTAGAGGAATGCTTTGAAGTTTTTTTTCTCTCTATGCCTTATGTCAACTCCATTTAAGTTTTTGAGTGGTGGGTTAGGTTTAACGTAGGAAAGAAATACACCCATCTACTGCATATGTCACCCTAAAACTCTTGAACTGCTTTTGATTAAGCTGAAACAAATGAGCCCTAGCCTCTGTCCTAAAACAAAGCATGGTGAGCTTCAAACCCAAAGTAAATAACCCTGCAAAGTTACAAACAAATAAAACATGGATGTCTTAAAATCTTCCGTGGTGCCATGGTAAGCAGTGCTCACAACAGCAGTAGCTCTTAATACCATTGTTGGTTGGTTGTTTTGGCTGAAAGTAAACGGAGTGTATAAGATCTCTCTTTAAGACCATAATGACAGTGGGATAACAGCTGTGAGTGCTCTTGGTGGTCAGCATATGAGACCTTGGTTTGATTCTTGTCCAGCGTACATACTAGGGTCTGTGTTTGCATGGCTTACACCAGGTTTGTAGATATTTTAATGTGCTGGGGAGACAAGCTGCATGTTTGGTGGGATATTGGTGGCTAAGAGTGGTTAAGAATGAGGAGCCAGAAGGAATACCACCTACAAAAACTGTTGCTGGAGAATAAAAATCCAGTCATGTAGAGCTAGGGAATCATCAGGCAGGGCTTGAGAAGGAAGAGAAATGAAACCTGCTGCCTTTGTGTGTTGGGGTTAAATGTTCCTCTTCCAAACGTACATCACCAACTTGCCAAAGTGGAACCCTAGCAAGGATGCATGCCTAGTCACTGGTAATTTATAATATACATCTGATCTGTATCCTTTGATACAAACCAGGCCCCAAGGCCTGTGGTGGAACTGATGGTTATCATCAGCACATAGCACTTGGCACACACGAAACGCTGCACAAATGTATAGCTAAACACTGGGGGACCTTTGCAAAGTAAGAAGGAACATCCCTTTGGGGGACTTTGGATTGAATTAGTGTCAGTTAGGCCAGTGGTCAGTTAATTGACCGAGATGGTCTGGAAAATTAAAGGAACTGTATCCCAAGTCTCTTGTTTTATAGATGCTGGTTAGTTACTTCATTAATCTGTCGTCTTGTAGGGTCCCACCATGTTTTGCAAATGCTCTTGTGGATGTTTTGGGTTTTTTTTTTCACTGTTTAACTTCTAATTGTTTAGTCTCCTCTCCTTTCTACATGACATTTTTCCATCTTTCTTAAATCTTGCTTAATCATGTGCCGAGATGTGAAAGTTTCTAGTACAGTAGAATACCTCTTTCTGTACTTGTTTTCCATACATGGCCACTTACACTTGTGACAGAAGATTGTGCTTGTGTTGACCAGACATCTCTCAAGAAACACACAGGGGAAACAGTAAGCAGCTTTTTCTCCAGATCCATCTCTCTGCTACAGGCCTGAGTCAGATTTGTCTCAGGGTGGTTAATGTTCCTTGAGAAATTATTTGCCAATTCCCTTGAAATATGTCCCAGGATTGCTCCAAGGATTGAAATCTTCCATCTGCTACTGTGCTTCTTTGCAATCAGGCTTTTCTCCAGCTGGTGAGTGGGAAAGTCAATCACTGTGTTTGGCCTGATGTGATTGTGATCCTCTGCTGTCATACATACACAACACTTGAAAATTCTGCTTTTTTTTTTTTCTTTTAAGCCCTATAACCTGTCAGCTGCCATTTGCTCTTACCTCTCAGCTAAGTATTATGTCATCTGTGTTTCTTCTTCCTCTGACTCCTTTATCCTTGCTGTCTTCTTTCATGTACAGTTATTTTCAGCTGTGTTCCCACCTCTTTATCCAAGCCTTCCTGCTTCTCCCATCGTCATAGATTCCTTGCGCAGACCATCTGTTCCTCACCCTTTGCATCCTTGTTCTATGTTTGTTTTTTTCAATATCTCTCCTCCTTCTGCTAGTCCTTTCCTTACCCTCATCTTTTATTTGTTGTCATGGGAATACTCACTGTGACTTCTAAATAACACACAAAGAGCTGTGTTTTCAGTCTATTTTGTGAATTCTGATTGTGAAGACAGAATTAAAAAGGACAAACAAAAACCCCCAAGAAATTAAAATCTGTGACAGAAGAAAGCAAAAATGTGGAATAAAATTCTATAAAAATGATCATTGCTTTTAGGCAGAGGAAGATCTAATCTTCTAACCCCATGGCGTGGCAACCTTGTGTGCTGTGTAGGTCAGAATCTAACAAATTTCTGTAGTTCTCAGTGTTTGTCATTACTGTGTCTCTCATAATTAAATGCTGTGGAATATAGAGGATGAAGAAGATAATAAATATAATGCTGTACTCTGAAACATGCTTCCAAGCTGGAAAACAGCTTTTATGATTTTATTGCGACTTCCTGAGAGCTCCTTCTGTGCTTCCATCTTAGAGAATGCAGAAACGTTCCTAAAGAACATCGTGAATATGAAAAAACAGAGCGCGTGACACACCTTTATGGCCTCCTGTTGCAGAAAGCGTTGCCTTATTCTTTGCACTTGGGGTATATGGGTGTAGGTGAGCTTCTTGGCTTCTCTGCATCCCATGAGAGTGTTGGTCTGGAAAAATGCTTAGTTCAGAGATACTGAAGGATGTGTGCTCTGGTGTTTGTCTTCCCTGGGCTTCATGGTCTGCGAACTATACCTTAGTACTTGTCCTCTTCTGAACTGTACGCTTCTGTTTAGTGCAGCATAATGTGGGGACTAACACACACTTAACGTTATACAAATTTTGTGGAAAGCCCAGGAAGAGTACTGTTTTACTAGACAGCAAAATTAGGATGTTGGTGTACTCCAAGCCACATATTGAAACCCACACTGCCTCTGTGGTTACTTGCACTGAAAGCAAGGAGTAAGCAGCTGGACATATTTTTCCTCAAACATATGTGCCTTGCCATTGGTGTAATTTCTTTGAAAATTGAAGAAAATCCAAAACATTCTTTTTGAAAGGAGACCTTCTTGTCTGTGTGTATACTCACACATGCATGAACACATCCTTATCCTGAAAGAGTAAGTAATTTTTACAAATTGAGCTGTAAAAGGAACCTCTACATCCAGTAGGGTGCCTTTGGGCTAGGTCCTAATCCATAGGGAACACCAGTATGGGGTTTCTATTTACCGTTTTGGCTGATCTCTAAGACTTGGCAGTAAGCTCTGCCTGATATTTATCATGCATTTATATTTAATATGTATTTCTGAAATACAGACTGAACATGAGTGTAACTATAAATTGGGAATTGATTATAGCTCCAAAACAGCTCTGTCTGCATTGCATGAACCTGATTTGGGTGTTTCAGCTGCACAAGAATATAAATGACATGGTCAAATTACCAAGGCTAGAGACTGCAAAAAATGTCTAGGAATGCTTTTCCACTCAGTGAGAAAGAGGATGTAGAAGTGGAGGCTTCATGTGCGGGTTTTTGGGGGAGGGCAGAATGAAACTGTGCTCCGACAGCTACCTTCATCAGCTTCACAGTTTTCTACCTGTTACTCAGAACATCTTAAAGCTAAAACAAAAAGTGGGTTCTTGCGAAGCATACTATTGTTCTTCTTTTTCTCTTTGTTTCTGTGTTGATTTCAAATGCAGTAACTAGTTTCCAAACTATGTTTTATTAGAATTTTTTTTTTTTGCATTCTCATTCATCTTGCTTAATATTTCAAGGCTCTTTGGCTAATGCTCAGTATTTTGTCCCTGAGGAGTGAATCATGCATCCTGCTCAGCTTCTAAAGTGTCTCTGGAAAACTTCCAACTGAGCTGGAAGAGCCTGGTTCAAGATGGCAGGTTAATGGAGAGAGATCTCTCTTGAGCAGTGATTCCTCCTGGAGTAACATGAAAATGCAGGGAGCATTCACATCCTCTTCACAGCCCTCTGAGATGTGACTTCTATGAGATTCCTCTGCCTCAAGCTTGAAGGAAGGGAAGGGAACCCTGAGGTTTAGCTAGTGCAGCACAAAAAGTGGGGGCAGTGGCTTTACATGCCTTTGAGATACAGAAGCTTCTATTCACCAGTATGCAAAAGGGATTGGGACTGTGCCAATGGCATACCAGCCGTTGGGAAGACTGGTATCAGCAGCTGAGCAGGTGGATCTGCTACAGCTTTTGTCACTGCTTCCATTGAGTAAGAGCTGGAAAAGGACCAAAGGAAATAATCTAATCCAAAACCTCCATGTTATAGTCCTTTGCATAGAGATGCCAGATTATGGTATGAAATAGGATTTTGGTCCCATGCTGAACATGCAGTACACAACAGAGTTATGTGCCACAGGAGTGAAAATTTCTTAGACTGTAAGTTGCTTCCTGTAATTCTTTTCTGTTGTTCAGAGCCTCAGATGTACGTTTGGGAGTTTTTGTATTTATTTTTGTGTTTATTTTTATTACACAATTTATATGTGCATTTATATACTCAAAAGTTTATATTCATCTGTTCACTTAAATGTATTTCTATGTATACACATTTTATAGGTATTTTTAATATATGTTATTGAATTAGGTTGATTTTGTTCTTTGTTTCCTTTTTCAGTTTGCTGAAAGCAGTCAGAAAAAAGAGGCTTTACAAAAAAGCATTAAGAAATCAAAAATTGGACGTGAAGACACTGTAAGTTGCTTTGGGGGGGAGTCATTCCTACCAGGAAATAGGGTTACAGGTATGGAGGATTTGTAAATACTAATGTAGTTGTTAGAAATCCATTAAGAAATGTAAATACTGGTGGTGAGAAAGGGACAGGGAAAAATCACATATGAGATTACTCCTTAGCTGGTCATGCACTAATGAGTAAAATATTGACAACTGGCTGCTACAAGGCTGAGAAAATGTGTGACTGCCTGAAGTCTGGTAATCTTCCAGGCTTTTTCAGATTTAAAGATCTCTTAAAACTCGAACTACCCAGAGGTATGTACCAAAGTTGCCGATGGTTGCTGAACTGCCAAATCTGGTAACTGCCAACTTAGGCGTTGGGGGTCTCTTTTTTTTTTTTTTTTCCTTCTTAAATCTTATTTAATCTAGATTTCTAAATTACTGTTCTGAGTAGCCATGTAAGCTTGGTGCTCTTTGCATGCTGAAGCTATTACACAGCAAAATAATATTTAGGCTGCATGTTTACCATACACATGAAGTAGCATATTAGAAAAAATTCATATGGTGTTCGAAGTTGCTGATTTGTTTTGAGATGCTCAGTCTGAGGTGGATTAAGCCTCCAATAAATACATGCATAAACAGGGACAGCCAGAAGCTTTCAGATGGAATTGAATTTTTTAGGAAAGTGCCAATTTTTACAATGCAAAATTTTTATTGAAAAATGCTCTGGGTTTGACTGTAATGGGGGAATCACAGGCAGGTTTCTCAGGCAGTTACAATTGTCAGGTTTCCAAATGGACGGCTGGAGGTTTGGGCTTCTCCACCACGTGGCCTGCCCTAGTCACAAGAAGCTATTGGTCATGGAAATCCTGTTCTGGCTGAGGTTTCCAACATTTTAGTTCCAGATTATACATCGGGAAGAAATGCTGTGAAATCTAGATCACAGTGTTGATCTCTGAGCAGCTGGCCTCCATACCTCAGCGTCTGAAAGCTTTCGATTTCCAATGTGCATTTTTAGAATGTGCTGAATTCAGACTGTTGGCAAAAGCACTGGGAACATAGAAGTTTGGGGAAAACCCCAAAAAACCCATAAAGAAACCAAAAGACCAACACCCACCTCAGAGTGTAGGGCTGCTGTGGGGATTGCCATTGGCTGAAAACCTGTTGGTTTACAAACTCATGCTATCTGGCTTTTTTAGGCTACGCGGTACCCTAACATGGGTTCTTTGAACATCAGCCAGTTACAGAGTTTGGCTGTAACTACAGACTGAATTCGAAGTATGTGCTGAGTTGGCTGTGGGGGAGCTCATGTTGAGTCGATGTCTGCAGATTCTTACTGATCAATAGAATATTTGAGGCCGATATTGTAGTTTCCCAGCAAAGGCTACCATGTCATAGGTAACTGTTGTGACCACTGCTTTAAAGTGGCGTGGGTAAAAGCAGGTGACAAATAAATTCACAGTGTGTTCGTACACAGCATCCCAATTTGTGAAAGCTTGAATAGTAGATTTTTCTGTGATGCTGTCTTTAATTACAAGCCTAGCATTCCTAAATGCCGTTTAACCTTTCAGCCAAACAATGAAGAGATCTGTTTGGAGTTGGTCAAACCGTCTCAAGTTCAAAGGTTGGAGAGGATTGTTTGTTTGTTTATCCATTTTGGCCTTAATTTTTTTCCTTCCAGTTTGTACTCGTTTTTCAGCGTCACTGAGGGCTTTGTGTGTGCATGAGATGTTCAACTCTGTCACTGACAGAAAGCAGTAGTGGAAACAGCATTTAAATTAATGTCTTTCTATGTTTTGGAAAACATTCTGTGCAATATTTACTGATTTTTATTCTTGTTGGTTTTTATCTCCCAACATACTTTGAATCCTCAGGCGGAGCGTGCAGCTCTAGCAAAGGAGCTTGCTGCCCTTCAGCAGAAAAAAGAGCACCTGAAGGCAGAGATAGACAAATACAGAGAATGTGATCCAGACGTTGTTGAAGAAATGCGTAAGTGGTGTATTGTTCAAAGTGAATCTTTGAGCAAAAAGGTCTGCACTTCTTTAGTTTAAACACTGGCGTGCAGCGATAAGCCAAAGAGTAACTGCTTCTCTTTTTAAAGCTGTAGGCAATGTCATACAGGTACACTATTTCTTTTCACAGTCTGATGTATTATATAAGAGGATTTTTATTGATGTTTACTCTGCCGGTAACTGAGCAGTTAACAAACAGTCCTAAAATTTAAATACTCTGCTGCATTAGAATTAATATCACGACCATTCTTTCTAGTACCATATTAATTCTGTAACTTTTAAGTGCTCTGAGCCCTAGAATGTATGTAAAAAGAGCAGTCTCTGGTTCACGTTTACCTTCAATTCCATGCTGGCAAAACAGGTATCTTTCTACTTACTTTGTCTTGTCTATTTAGAACATAAGCATTTCATTAGAGACACTTAATTTCCACTTACATGTTGGTATGGTATTACACTCTTGACTTGCTGTTTGTACTGTTCCTGGCATGCTGGGTTTTGGTTGGAGTTTCTAATTCTAATGGAATATGGGGAATGATGAGTGACTAATACTTCATACAGAATTGGGCATTGAAATGTACTTAATATTCTGATCCTTAGCATGAAAAATGAAAAGCATGCGTGAAGTTTTATTGAATTTTCTCTGCTTTAACTTTCATGTTTTATTTATGAGGCTCCTACGTTGCTACCCAAACGCCGCTGCATGCATATTCAGTTGCTGTAATGCCAAAATGCCTTTACAGAGTGATGAGAAACAGGCACAGACCTTTTTCTGAGAAGACAGCTGACTGAATCTTTCTCTTCCCTTCTTCTAACAAAGTCTACAGCTTTAGAAATGGGCTGAGAGAAAGCCAGGAACATAAACACAGTTGGCAGCACACCCCAAAATTGGACAGATATTATTTATTTTGAGGGGCAGTGAGGTTTTTTTGTCAGCTGCATTATCTTTCCCCAAGGATGTAATGGTATGCCAGGGAATAAGCAAACTCGAGACCTGAGGTTAGTTACTGTGCTGTAAATCCCTCACTGTGTGCTCTCCTGAGGACAAGTAACAGACGCATTCCAGCTGATTCCAGCTGTAAAAATGAATGAGGTTAGGCAGATACCGACAGCAGAGGGATTCGCAGTGCCAGGTATTTTAACTGCTGAGATACCCTTATAGTAAGCGCTGCACTGGCTGATTTGAGGAGCTTCTCTTGAAGCAGTCGCAGTGAGCACATTCCTAAACACTAGACACAAGGAGGCAAATCACAGCTTGAATGCTAGAGCAAACGGCATTAGCTGGCAACAGAGAGACTAACATCCTGAAAAGAGGGAAAGGGAAAGAAATTAGTTACTTCAGTCATGCCCTCTCTCTCTCTCTGAGCATTTAAGGGAGTTGGTGAGGTTAGCCTTGTTGGGCTACTTGGATTCACAAGGGCATATGCAGTAGTGTTTCAAAAATAATTTGTCGCTGAACTTCAGTTAAAAATCTGCTTCGTTACATGTTTCATCAGTCCATGGCAGTGCACATCGTTGCTGGCAATGTATAAATGAATGAATGGTGAAGTCAGTTTTGGGGGCTTCATGTCTTTGTCGAAGCTGAATGGAATTTTACAGGCTTTAAGGGGGAAAGAAAAAAAAAGTTGGGGGGCATTTCTCTCATTCCAGAGTTATGGGGAAGTGGAAAGGCAAAACAAGATGCAGGAAGTTCTGGGTTTTAGTGTAGAAGGCAAATAAAGAATCTTAGGCAGTGGAAGGTGTCCAGCCACATGTGAAAGTTATTGCTGTAGTTTCACAGAATAACCTTGTAATCAAAGTTACTGGTTCACAGATTTTAAAGCATTTTCAAACCTCACGTGCGTGATACCATTTTTTACTAGCTGATTTAGATAATGTAAACCTTGTGATTATTTTCAGTTAGATCACCTGAGCAGATTGCTAACTCCAAATTACCTTATTTTAATTTTGAGTCAGAAATCAGAAATGGCTGTTATGTTATGTAATTGCACTCTTTTCAAGAGTTGGATTGCTTTAAACTGAAATGTTTTGTAGTGCCTAGTTGTCACTTTCTACGTTTGGTTTTCCCTCTTCTTCCGTAATGACTTCAACCCATAAGGAAATCTTTCTGATGCTCAGTATAAAACTTCACTCTGTTAATTTCCCGTCCCATATCATAGAGCTGCCTTGATTTTTGTTGTGATATTTTAGGGGTGTATTAAATTGTCATCTGATTTCAGTGGCCTTCAAATCTGGTGAATGCTTTGCTATGCCTTTTTAATAGCTCTCTCCCTCAAAGGAGTATTGTAGAAACAAACCTATTGTACAGTGATGAGTCTCACTAAAGCACACACACACTAATTCCAGGGTCAAAACAAAGTTTGGATGATACATAGCAAATATCTGAAGACTCAACTAAAAGCTGAACATCTGTCTTGCTTCCTGAGTATTGTGGTGGGAAAGTCATGTTTGACCATGTAACTAAATATATTCTAATGCATATTCACAAGGGGGCAAATCGGAATACTGCAAGGCTAACACTGTTCTCTTCTGACTTCACTGCTTGTCCTTTTAATATCAGTAACAAATGTTGTGCTTTATGTTTTGGCTTAATTTCCTTGGCTTTTGTATTAGAGAGCTGAAGTATAAACTCTAATGCTTTCCCAAGTTTACAGCATTTGAACACGGAATTTCAGTATTCGTATGTAACAATTCACTACAGTAAATAGCAGAATAAACAAGATTTATGAACTGACCACTAGACGAAGCTACATAATAGTCTGGTCTTGTGGATATATTTGGATAATTCCATTTTACAGGTAGAGTAGTGTAAGAATATATCTAGAATTACAAAATACATGGATTTCTTCTAATGACCACTGCAGTTCAGTGGTTGAAGCTTGTGTTTGCCTCTTGGAAATGTTGTTTAAGCCATTTTATGTGATTTAGGATTGAGTAATAAATTCTTCCTCAACATTAAAGGCAGTAAAACTGACAACATTCATCAGAAGTAAAAAAAAAAAAAGTATATAAAAAGAAGAACTAAACACCGGGATTTTATGCTTCTCTGTCAAACTTGTAATCCTGCTTCATCTGCCACAGGACAGACCCCCTGTTTCTCAGCTTTGAGGCAGATTTTTGTAGGCGGGAGAATATTCTCATGGGGAAGCAGAGATTGTACAGCAGAGATGCGCTATTCCTCCAGGAGAAAGGCTTATATCGCATAATGCGTATGTATGCAAAGTTGGATGCACGTGATGCTGCCACATTCCCTAGGGGTTATGATAGAAGTCAAAGGCATAGAGAATGCAAGCTTTCAATAGTTCATAGTTTATCCAGGTTCTCTTAAGACCAACCAAAAAAAGCTCCATGTAACATCAAGATTAACCTGCTGTGCAAACTTAATTCGTTCTGCCTGCCAGAGAGAGATGTTAGGGACCTAATAGACTTTCTGGCAGTTAATTTTATGGAAAAGTTTGTCTGGTAGCCTAAGTGTAAAAATGATAGGGATTTTGCTCTGAGTTGTTGGCCAACTTATAACTGGAAATAGCTAAACATTTTCACTGTTCACTGTAACGTTTCTGCAGTTTCAAATTACTTCTGCCGTAATTAGAGAAATGTTGATTTATACTATATTAAAACATTATTTGGTCTTAACTGTATTTTTCACAATAGCCATTCTTTGGTTCCTTTGTGTCTTTGCCTAGGACAGTAATCTCAGAAACAGTTACATACTGACTGAAGTAAGTGTCTTCCACGTGGTATGATTGCTAGTATTTATGGGGCTAGTCT